ATATTTTTTTCTCTCTAAATTTTCCTTGTATGTTATGTTGCAATGTTTTTTTGTTGTGTTATGAATGAAAAATGCACATCTATTTATAAGTGTTCATCTTCACAAAACCATGAGAGTTGTTACAAAACTATGGGTGCAAAATCATGTGTGTTGCTTTCTTTGGTGCACAAATTGTGACTTTATTCAACCACATTCCTTGACCACAATATTTGACGATGACCATAATATTTGACATTAATGTCATCATAGTTTCTAATGAAAGGTAAATTGATGAAAAATTATGACTATTAATATCTCTTCTATGTAGATCAATGTTTTAAAAATCGGGTCGGTCATCGAACCGGTGAGAATATTGGGTCACTGGTTTATCGGTTGAACCACTGGGTCACTGGTCGAATCGCATGACTAAATCGGATTAAACCGGATAACTCGGTTGAATAGACCTGTCATCATAACAAAATCATATAGGTATAAAACCAGTTGAACCGGATAATTAGTCTCTAAAAAAATATAACTAGCACTTAATTTTTTTGAAAATATCATATCATAAATTCTCAAGTTCATAATTTAAATTTAAATTTTAAACATAAGTATCAAATACAATAAAATAGTACAAAATTACAAAGTGTAATTGCAAATAAAGTCTAATTGCAACATAATATAATTGAATAATTTAGGCAAAATATCCTTTTTGGTCCCTTAACTATACCTCGGTGTTCATTTTGGTCCCTTAACTTTAAAAAGTTCCATATTGGTCCCTTAACTTTTCAAATGTTCCATATTAGTCCTTTTTTACCTATTAGAGACGGATTTAGCGACGGTTTTTTGATTTTTTTTCGTGGCTAATAGGTTAAAAAGGACTAATATGGAACGTTTGAAGAGTTAAGGGACCAATATGGAATTTTTTAAAGTTAAGGGACCAAAATGAACCCTGAGGTATAGTTAAGAGACCAAAAAAGATATTTTGCCAATAATTTATAACAAAATAACTCCAATGTCTACTTAAGTTTAGTTCATTCCAAGGAGATAAAATTATTTCAAAAAGGTAAAATTATTTCAAGGAGGTAAAATTATTTCAAAACAATGATAACAAAAAATTTAATTTAATTTTTTTTTATTTTTATAACTCAAAATGACATTGTTTGCGTTTAAATTTTAATTAAAAAATAAAAAAAGCATTAAAATCGCCGGTTTACAGAAATCACCGGTTTTCCCGGTCCAACCCGATTTGTACCGATTTTGACCGGTTTGATGACAAAGGCGGTCCAATTATTGAACCAGACCGGTTACTAGCCCAATTCCCGATTCAACCGGTCCGACCGACCGATCCGATTTTTACAACTATGATGTAGATAGTACTTTCTGCTTATTAGCCTATTGGTTCTTATGCGGGCTATATGGATTTGCATGTGCAAATTTAATCTTCTTCTTTCTTGTTATATTTAATTTTACTCTCTCATTCCTTTTTAAGTGTCATTTTTTCACTTTTTACACGTACGAATAATTACTAATCAATATTGTTACTTTTCAAGTTATGATTTTCATTTTATCTATAATATCCCTAATTATTTATTATATTCATTTTACTTTTCTCTCTATATACAATAAATACATAAAGATAATTTTGACAATAGTACAATTAATACTTTTTAAACTTTGCAAGTGACAATTAAAAAGAAATAAACAATTATCATAAAAATTACCTTTAAAAATGATTTGTTCTATTCTTTTTCTTTGTAGTTGCTAATGCAAGCATGGGCGTGAGTAAGATGGCATTGCATTGCATTTTATATCTCACATTGTTTTCTGTGTCTCAAGTATACATTTATCTATAATGATTGTAGAGTTTATATTTTCTTCAATTAATAATCAAAATAACATGAATTTGAAACTGCTATATAACTAACAATTAACTTAACTATGTCAACTCCTAATAATCAATACTCCGGTTGACGTCTTACAAATTTTGCTTTTCAAATATATGCACAATATAGAAATTGATCCCGTTAACTTTAAGCATCGGTCATGAGATCTGTTTTACATCCATCCTAAGTAGCATCATGAAATACTCTCTCCCTTGCCTTTGTTGCCTGCAAAAAATGCAAATATATTGTATGTTAACACCTAAACACATATATTCATATAGTTGTAACAGAAAAAATTGTGGACCTGTTTTTTCCAATCTGTACGTGCAGTAATAATGAAAAGGAAAATTGTCTGCACGATGGAGCCACACACTATTCCTATCCAAAGACCCTTTGCTTTGAAATGTACAACGAAGCCCAGTACTACGCCTACAGGAATTCCTATTAAATAAAACGCTCCAAGATTCACATAGGCTCCAACACGTTGCCACCCACTTCCTTTAGCAGCCCCTGATTATTAAAGAAAGGGATTGATCATATGTTCTTAAGTTTGCAGTAGGATAGAAATGAGAGTTTAAGTCTTGTAGTTGACATACAACCAAATGTATATTACTTTAACAACATTCACAATGTATAAGTGTATATTACATATGTTACTTGTGTTAATTACTCAATGATAAACTTTTACACATGCTTGAATCATAGTATAGAATAGATAGAACTCTGCAACGTGTAATAAAGAATAGCAAAAGGAGTGTAAAGAACAGTTGTTAACCTGAAAGAACAGATTGTAAGCTATCTGTAAATATTGATGCACACAGAAAAGGGGTCATAACAGCCACGTAATGAACAAGTGCATTGTCATGGGTAAAGGCATAACCCAAAACATATCTGCAGCCAAACAGGATTATGATGACAATAAGAGCTTCTATCACAGCAAGGATCATAGCCGTATAAACAGAAAAACGACCTGCTATTGGATTTCCTGCCCCTAATTCATTTGAAACTCGCGTGCTGTCACACAAAACAAATGAGTTACTTTTAATGTTACTATTATTTCATGCTAGTATTAGTGTATAGATAAAATTACCATATAGTTTGGTGAATAGAGAAACAAACCTAGTAGCAGCCCCAAGTCCAAAAGATATAGTGAAGTGCAGTGTAGAGATGGACAAGCTGATCAGACACCCATGGGAAAATTAGAGATTAGTGCTTTTATTTTCTTCTAAAATATAATATTGTTTGATGTAAACTTGAGTAAGCATATCCTGAAATCAAAACATGTTACCATATAGAGAGAACTGATGTCTCCAACATCGGATTGGGAAGAAGTCCAGCTAGCAAAAAAATCACCTCGCATGCCCACCATTTGAGACTGAAAGAAGACGGACAATTATAGATGACATATATATATTTAAACTTTGAGAGTAATATTCATGATTTGTTTTAATTAATGAGAAAAAGAAAAGGAGAGCAATAAGAAATAGTTACCAAACCATAGCAGCTGAAGGAACAGCAAGGGCAAAGAACTCTCTAAATCCAAGGAAAGCTTTCTTGGAAAATGGCACACGTGTTTTCTCACAAGCAGAAGAATACTTGACGAAGTACAAAAGTATTACCACATTCAACCAAATTCCTAAGCTGAAGGCAATTGCCGTGCCAACAGATCCCAACGCCAGTTTAAATACTAAGACCCAACAGGTTACTCCGTGGAAGCACAAACCTATTAAGGAGCTTATAATCATAGGAGAAAGAATGCTTTGGGTCTGGAAAAAACGTGTTAGGGGTTTGAGAATTGCCGAGCCAAATAGTCCTGGTATCAGCCAAAGAGCATATGTGCGTGCTTCAATGGAAATCTCAGTGTCTTGGCCAATGAAAATCAAGATTTTATCAAGGAAAATCCATAATACAGTGATTGGTGCACAAACCATTGCGAGGGACATTACGGCAGTGTATGTGTATATTCCCAGCTTTTCGAATTGGCCTGCTCCAAAAGCTTGACCACATAAAGTTTCTATTCCACCGGCCATCCCTGACTGCAATAATATTGACATAGTTGAAAGAGTCATGCACACTGCAAACAATTTATTTAGATATAATGCAAATTCATATGAGCACAAGTATGATGAAATAAATAAAATATAATGTTGTTATTAAAGTCCACACAAAATACAAGAAACAAAACAAAATGTATAATGAATCAAAAGGGCCTTTGCTTTGAATTTAAAGCTTAACCTTTTGTCAAACAGCTTAACGACATTGGTTATTTTCCATGGAATACAAAACTTCCTTCCTTTATTTCTTCTTCCCTTGCGACCTTACCAACAACGGGAAGAAACAAAGACTCCTCTTGTTTCTCTTCCTCTCCTCCGTATGATCTTCCACACTGTCATCCTCCTCCTTCATATACGTTACTCCTATGCACGTTGTGTTTGTTCAGATAGGTACGCCTATTTGACACTCTACCAGTGGTAGTGGTTGGTGGCGGATGGTTGTCATAGGTACCGACGGCCGACAGCCTCACCGCCGCTACTATTATCAATAATAAAAAAGTGAAATAAATAAATAAAAGTAAAAATTGTTTTAGTCTTTAAATAAAATTATTATTGGAAAGTTAAATAAATATTTAGTTTTCAAAATATACAATGTTCCATCTCTTTCACTTTATTCAAAGTGCTTTCCTATAAATTTTATTCTATAAATATTTAATTTTATCAAAAACTATTCGAAATAACTTTAGATTTTAATAATTTTAAAAATTTTTGATATTAAAACAAGGATTTAATTGTTATGTATTGATAGTGTAAGAATGTTTTATAGTGTCATTCAATAGAAATATATTATTATGTCATGTCATATAATTAGTTTAAAAATTTCAGTATGATTTAGCGAGATGCATGGTCGTCATTGGTTGACAGTGTAAAAAACATTTACAATGTCAGCGCATCACCCTTTTTTCCTTGAAAATATTACAATAAAATAATGAAATACCTAAAATAAGAATAACTATTGAAATGACTTAATGAATATTTCGTAAACTCTCTCTCTCTCTCTCTCTCTCTCTCTCTCTCTCTCTCTCTCTCTCTCTCTCTCTCTCTCTCTCTCTCTCTCTCTCTCTCTCTCTCTCTCTCTCTGATGACGAAACAGGGACGTGGGCGGCCGAGAACCATGGTGCCACCGTCACCGGTGAATCACCCCCTACCGAAGAACCAGTCGGAAGTGGCGAGTGTGAATTTGAAGGAGAAAGAGCGAACAGAGGATCATGAAGATGCTAGCGATGAGAAAGCTGATAGAAATGAGAAAGAACAACATACACCAGAAACCCTAATAGCGAAGGAAAGAGAGACTGAAACCCTAATTGTGAAGGAACAACATGAAGAACGGAAACTATGGGTGGACGCAATCAACGATAATCGTAATCTTGCAAAAGGCATTTCCATGGAGTATGTGGCGCCTAAAATCATCAATGGTGAAGTGGAAATCGAAATTGAAAAAGAAGATGTAGAAACGAAAATTTGATTTTAGGAGAATGCTCTAATCCTATATGTGAAGGGTGAAGACCTGAGTATGAACAGGGTAAAAAAATTACATGGTGAAAACATGGAATTTCGTGAGAACACCGAATCTTTATTATCATAATGAGGGATATTTCTTGATTCGTTTCAACTCCTTTGAAGATAGAGAAGCAGTGATGATGAAGGGGCCATACACCATTAGGAACATGCCTATGATATTGAAGAAGTGGCAGCCAGATTTTAATATGAAGAAGTATTTGTTGCAAACACTACCCCTCTGGGTTAAACTACATCAGCTTCCACTGCATCTATGGGGTGTGAAGAGTCTGAACAAAATAGGTAGTGCCATAGGAACACCTTTTGTGACGGACGAATGCACTGCAAACAAGTTACAGGTGTCGTATGCTCGAATTCTTGTGGAGGTAGACATAACACAACAACTTGTGAAGGAGATTACCATCAAAGATATTGAAGGCATAGTACTAAAGCAAGAAGTTGATTATGAGTGGAAACTCTCTTTTTGTGAGAAGTGTCAGAAGATAGGACACCAATGTAATCCTCAAAAGAAACTGCAACAATGGAGACCAAAAAAGAAGCCCCATGATGAAAAGCTGAAGACGACCCTTGCAAGACAAAATGAAGAGGCTGAAAGGGTGAATCTGGAAGCTAAACCAAATGAAGAGGTACCTTGAATTGTGGGGAGAAGAACTACTAGAGATAAAGGTAAGATTCATCTTGGATCAACATCTGGTATATAGTGTGTCAATGGCTTTGAGACTCTAGAGGTTTTGAATGACCATCTAGAAGCCATAAGCAATGTGAAATGATAGTGTCTTGGAACACAAGGGGGTTGAACAAGGTAGGCAAATTAAAGGAGATTAGCTCCCGTCTCCATGAGCCGAAGCCTACTATTATGATATTGATAGAAACAAGGGTGAAAAAAAAGAAAAGCTAACAATATCCGTGGAAAACTTCACATGACTGATCACTTTGTGGACAGTTATAGTACTCATGGTAATGGCAGAATATGGATATGGGATAATAATAGGGTAGAGGTTCAGTACATTCAATGTTCCAGCCAATATATTCATTGCAGGGCAAATGATTTAAATGGTGTTTTCAAGTACTGGTTGACTGCAGTCTATGCCCATAATCAACTGGAAAATAGAAAGAAGTTGTGGCAAGACATTGAGAGTATTCATAACACTCAACAAGGGCCTTGGTGTGTGATAGGTGATTTTAACAATGTAGCTAAGGCTCAAGATCGAATTGGTGGAAAGATTGTCACTGAAGCTGAATATATGGATCTACAAAGTATGATGGTTACTACAGGGTTAAGTGAAATGGATAGTTGTAGAGATTACTTCACATGGTTCAATAAGCACACTATTGGGCCAATATACTCCAGGATTGACAGATTAATAGCTAATGTGGACTGGTTCCAACATCATCTTGATACTAGGCTGCATATCCTCCTTCCTAATGTGTCTGATCATGCTCTTTTGCATGTAACTAATAACAAATCTGAGATAAGGCTTAAAAGACAGTTTAGGTTCATTAGCTGCCTTGCTGATATAGATGGTTTTGAGGAAGTGGTAAGGAGCAGCTGTGAACAACCTATCAGGGGGGAGCCTATGGTTATTCTTTAGAGGAAACTCAAAAGACTTCAACTTGTTTTAAGAAAGTTTAGCAGAACCCTGAGCTATCTAAAGCAAAACTTGATAACATCTAGAATTAGTCTAAAGGAAGCCCAAGGTGATCTTACCAATAATAGATTTGATGTCAATGCCATTGAGAAGGTCAGAACCTGCACTGAAGAGGTGATTAAACTTAATGATCTTGAGGAGAAAATTCTGATGGAAAGACCTAAAGTGGATTGGCTAAAGATGGGAGATGGTAATAACACTTATTTTTATGCCTCTATTAAAGCTAAACAAAGTCCAAAGAGTATGAGAGGTATTCAAACTACTTATGGCATTGTTCCGCAGAATCACGAGGACATAGAAAGGGAGATCTTGGATTTCTATGGTCAGCTTATAGGGAAGGATGACAATAATCTTCAGCACATAGACATTGAAGCCATGAGGCAGGGCCCCTAGTTGAATATGGAGCATAGAGGAACTCTTATTAATAACATCTCTGAGCAAGACATCCTAAAAGCCCTCAATGGCATAGGTGATCTTAAGGCCCCAAGGCTGGATGGATATGGATCTAAGTTCTTTAAAGTTTGTTGGCACATAATCAAAGGTGATGTCATTGCAGCTGTTAGATAATTTTTTGAATCAGGTATCATCTATAAGCCTTTCAATAGCACTTTAGTCACTCTAATTCCTAAGGGAGATGCTCCAAAGGGAATTAAGGACTTTATATCTATTGCTGGATGCACTACCTTTTATAAAATTATCACTAGAGTCATGACTGAGAGATTGGGAAAGGTTTTACCTAGTATTTTGAATAGCAGTCAGACTGCTTTTGTCCCTGGCCAGAACATCCACAATCACATCATGTTAGCCTATGAGTTGTTGAAGGGCTATAATAGGAAAGATGGAACTCCTAGGATAATGATGCAAATAGAGCTCCAGAAGGCTTATGATATGGTCAACTAGAAGGCCATGGAATGTATCCTAAAGGAGATTGGTATCTCTAGACAATTCATATGTTGGATTATGGCTAGTGTTAGCACTATGACTTATAAGTTCAATGTGAATGGGGAGTTTACTAAGTTCCTACAAGCCAAGAGAGGGATTAGACAGGGTGATCCTATATCACCCATGCTCTTTGTGTTAATCATGGAGTATATGAATATGATCATGTACAAAATGCAGCTGAATCACAAATTCAATCACTATGCAAAATGTTAAAAGTTATGCCTCACCAGCATGATTTTTGCTGATGATGTTTTACTGTTCTGCAGAGGAGATACCACTTTAGTAGAGATGATGCATGATGCTTTCAGGACCTTTACTCTATCTGCAGGCCTTATTGCTAATCCCAGAAAAAGCAAGATTTACTATGGAGGCATTGATACCGGACAGAAAAGATTGTTGCAGAATCTCATTGGGTTTCAAGAGGGTGAACTTCCTGTTAAGTACTTAGGAGTGTCGCTCACTTGTAAAAAGCTGACCATACATCAATATCTTCCTTTGATAGAGAAGATTGTGGGGAGGATACATCATTGGACTACCAAGCTTCTCAGTTATGCAAGGAGGATTCAGTTGGTTAAAGTATTATCAGAGCCTGGATGCAGTGTTTTCCTTTCCCAAAAAGTTTGATCAAGAAAATTGAAACTATGTGTAGAAGCTTCATTTGGACAGGCACACATGAGAACACTAGGAAGAGCCATGTGGCATGGAAAATAGTTTGCAGTACCTATGGCCAAGGGGGCCTTCAAATCATCAACCTCCAAAGTTGGAATTCTGCTCTGATGATGAAATGTTTGTGGAATATGAGCAGAAAAGCTGATAATTTGTGGGTGAGATGGATGCACTGTTACTACCTTAAGGAGCAGGATGTTATGGACTATGAGGTAAACGTTCATAACAACTAGATTTTCAAAGGTATTTTAAAGCATAAAGAGAAAATTATGGATATGCAACAACAATGGAATATGGCTTTGCAACATAACAGGTTCAGAGTGACAATCTTCTACAATGTCATGATTGAAGATAAGAATAGAGTTCCTTGGAGTAATTTGGTGAAGCATAATAAGGCTAGACCTCGGGCAGTGTTATGCATATGGATGGCCTGCCATGGGAAATTGGCCACAAGGGACAAATTGAGAAGGTTTGGGTTGATCCAAGATAATATGTGTGTGCTTTGTGAGAATGAAGAGGAAACAGTTAATCATCTATTCTTCAGCTGCAGTAAAACTGAACCTATTTGAAGGAATATCTTGAACTGGTTGGAGAATAATCATTGCCATAAGTCTTGGGAGGATGAGGTAGCTTAACTTATTAGATCAACAAAAGGAAAAGGTTGAAAATCTACTTTGCTTAAGATGGCTATAGCAGAGACTTTGTACAACATATGGAGATTGAGAAAAAAACATGAAACAACATATGGAGATTGAGAAAAAAACATGTGTTTCACTGATAATGTTGATAATACATGTATAGATGATAGAATTAAAGATATCATAGTCTATAGAGCGTTCCAAAACACTAAGATTAGACACCACCTTGCTAGAATAATGATGTAATTTTAGTCTCTTGTGTCCTTTTGGTAGGTTGGATCCTTGTGATCACCTTGATTTGCATATCTGTTTTTGAATTAATATATATTCTTTTGATTGAAAAAAATACTTAAATGACTTTTCATTTGAAGTTAACTTTTGTAATGATAAAAAAGTATAGGTGTGCATGTTACCCTTGCAAGGACGAGTATACTAAAAGACCTTGGTAGGTTTATAATATTTTTTCGTGGTAGGGACTTACATGAGGCGAAGAGAAGCCTTGTATGGAGGAGTTACGATGGTTGTAAAGATCTTGCTTACATAAGGTGAAATGCTCTATATGTTAGCATACTACTTTTGATGTTAGGTGTAAGTTATGATCCCCTCCTTCCCCCCGTCAGGGAATAAGTATTTATAGAGGCCCAAGGACTAGAATTAAGAAAAACCTTAGAGACGGTAACCGCATCCTCGTGACTAAGGGAGATTATTAACTACCTATTTTACATGGGGTCGTGGTATAACTTCTTCACATATGACTAATGTGGGATAATGTTATTATATACATCATATGTCCCAAGGTTGGGCCCCGGTGTTCCATGAGGATGTCTTCTCGGAGACCTTAATCTAGGCAGGAACTCGGAGGTCGCTTTTGTTTGAGACTCTCACAAATATAACACTACATAGTCCCTAAAGTACGAGGGCTTGTAAATGGGTAAGTTTTTTTAAAGCTTCTTTTGTTCGAAAGGTGAGTCCCTCAACTGAAGGTAGGCTTTTAAATATGGGTAAAGTCCCCCGGCTAGGGCGAGTCCCTCAGTTGAAGATGACTTTTCCAATGAGGGGTGGGTCCCTCAACTTAGGGTGAGTACCTCAGATGAAGCCTTTTCAATGTGGGGAGAGGCCCTCCTTTTATTTGCATAAGCCCTCTAATTGAGGGATGAGTTATCTCTTCTTGCCATATGTCTCATGATTAACCAAAACGTCGATTGGAAAGTTCAATCAATATTTCAGATGATCATGCTTACTTCTCTTTAATGTAAGTAATGATGTTCTGCTTTTTGAGATCGTAAAAGCTAGTGCCACGAGTTAGAAGTGTGTCGAGATTTTCAAAATTAGAGGGGAGCCTAAAAGGTCCCTTGTAGTTTTAACTTCCTTAAAAACGTTTCCCCTTCCACTTCACTGTTCTATTTTGCTCTCCCGACTTCTGTGAGCTCATCTGAACTGCACAATTCTTCTATGTCTTTGATTCTTCATTCACAACCTCTTTCTAATTATGAATTTCATTTTTCTCCCCTAATGTGTAATGTGTAATGAGTATGGTTTATGAGAAATGTTAAAAATGGGGTATATGTTATCGTAGGGTTGTAGCCTCTGAGGGTTATAGTTACCCCTTTTAACGATTGCGATGGTGGTGATTTCTTTTTGTTCAGTTGTTTTCCCATGACAAAAAAACAATGGTCTCCCCTTCCGTTGTGCTCAAGTATGCAGAGGGCATTCGATCTTATTACACCTCAGATAAACATATCCTACATTTCCGAACATGTGTGGAGGTTTCCTCCTCAGAAGATGAGGAGATAGTTATTCTTGAGGCATGTTCCCCGTCAGAGAGGGTGACCACACTTGTCTCATCTGATCCTTCATCTCCCTGCTTTTATTTTTACTTCCCCTTTATCAAGGATATGGGGTTTTATTTTCATTTCCCCCCTTTTTCTATTGAGGTTATGAAGGTTCTCAACGTCGCGCCCACCTAAATGTTCCATAATAATTAGGGCTTAATTAGGGCTTTGAGATTACCTGTGAAGACCTGGATGTTACTCCAGCTATAGGAGTCTTTTTCTCTTTTTACACCACCAGACCTGCGAAGGGTAGCTAGGTGTCTATAGATGGTCTGTCAGTGAAGGTCATTTTTGCATCTCACTTCAATCACTAAAAAATTGGAAGGAGAAGTTTGCCCGTGTAAGGGGCGAAGGTATTCTTTCAGAGTGTTAGGGGGTGACGACGCCCCCCTCTCCCCCCTATCTTGGATGAATGATCATGTGGCGATCACAGGATATGGCAAGAACTACCTTACCCTTGAGGAGGCGAAAATTGTTTGCCTACTGGGGAAGTTCGAAGTTATGGACATGTTGCCTTTAATAAGACTGTGGTTGGAGGGCGGTCATCATTTCGCCATCTAATTAGGTAAGTTCTTGAATACCCTATTTTCTTTTATAGGTGTTTTTAGACAGCATCAGTGATCTCTGTGCATTGTTTTACATATCAAATGGTGAGGATTACTGCTGAGGAGAAGAGAAGAAGATGAAAAAAGATCCAACTTGTTTGTGGGGAGACTAATAGCCTTCAGATGAGTAGGGATTAATGATGGTAACTCTACCGATTAGAACTAGGATAATTATTCAACATAGTAATTAATTAGGAATAGATGATTATAAGCTGTACTTTTGAATTAACGAACTTAAAAACGTCTAATTTAACTCTGAATGGGCTTAAGGAGTTAGAGAACTATTATATAAATTAATGAGTTGTACACCAAAAATTTAAATAAACGCCTTGTTAATTCGTCATAAAATTATAACTTCTTAAATAAGTCGATTACAAGACCAAATACAAAAATTTCAAAAAATAGCATAACACTTTAACGGTGAAGAATGAAAATTTGCTTAAACAAATATTTTTATATATCAAATAAAATATTCTTCAATTAACTGTTAGTTCTCCCTATCAAGAATATTTTGTATTTTACGAGAAGAAAAAAAATAAACTTTCATTCAAGTGGAGGGCCATCTATCCCTTTTTTTCCCTTCATTTTATTCAAAATAAACTCTAAATTTTCTTCATCATATTCAAGGAAAAAATAACACTTTAAATGTAAAGAATGAAAATTTGTTTAAACAAATATTTTTACAATATCAAATTAAATTTTCTTCATAAAATTAAGTTGTTCCTCTTAAAAATATTTTGTATTTATAAGAAAAAAATAAACGCTCAGGAGGGTCGTATATCCTCCTTTTCTTATATAAGTTAGATTTATGAGAGTTTGAGTTAACTCATCTTTTCAAAATCAGACTGTAAGACACTGAAACAATGGAAATCATATATAATCAAAATGAAAAAGAACAGTAATCAATCAAAACCCAAATTGGAAAGTGTAACACACTCGTTAGATTGAATATTCAAAGGCAATGCAATGTAAATCAAATGATGATAAAGAAGTTACCAAAATACTAAAGCCAGAAACATTAGCGATAGATGTAGCAATGGAAACACTTGAAAGAGACAACTGATTAAGATGTCCAACCATCATCACCGATACTACTTGCAGAAGATTTTGCAACATAGACGAGGCCACCATTGGTGCAGCTATGGTAACTACTTTCTTCAGTTCCACCATAAATATTGTTCTTATTTTCTTCCATTCCAACTCTCTACTCTCTGAACCTTCTTCTATTTCCATACCTTATTTTTGGTAAGCTATTATATACCTTTTGTCTTCAATTCTACTCTTGTGCTTTCAAAATTTATTTTTCTTCTGGTTTTATTTTAGAATAGTTTAACTAAAATACTGTGTCTTAGGTATTTAAACATGTTGGATAGATCTTAAATTCTTTGAACTCATAACACTAGCCAGGCAGATGGATTAGTCCAGCCCCACTTAAAAGCAATTGCATAAATTTGTAAACACTAATTCGAATTCGATCCGCGTCACTCGAATAATCCGCGCCGCGGATCTTAATAAAATAAATAAATTTTATCTTTTAATTATTTTACAAGATATTTATATAAAATTTATAAATTTGTTGATAATATAATATTAAACTAAATTTATACGTAAGTATTAATTAAAATAAATCATAAATGATATTTAAAAATAATTTTAAATGTATATAATTAATTTAAAAATAGTATTGATAATTTTCAAAATAATGAAACAGCAGAGGAGAATCAATGAAATAAATATCGGCGAAGAAAATTCAGAGTATCATTATAATTTTATTGTAAAATATTATATAATAATCTTATTTTTATTATTATTTTAGATTAATATAACTGAATTTTATATTACAATATTATTATTTAATGTCTTTTTTTAAATTTCATTATAAA